GCACATAACAAAACCCTCATTAATTCTCTGGTACAAAAAACCCCAACCAACCCAGCTGCTGTGAATTTGTCAGAAGAGCTGCCGTCCTACTATTAGAGATTGCTGTTCAGTTAAGGTGAATCCTTCTCTGTCACCCTTCAAACACACACAATAGGAAGAGGCTGGACACTGTTTCTTGCCTATACACCTTCAAAGATGAACACAGTCTCTATATCCCCTAATTTTAAAATTCATCAGTATATGTTTCTCTTTTTAAGAAGATATTGCAACTTTTTAATAACATGCAAACGAGGTTTAATCTTCAAGGTAGACATTGTCACTTTTCTATAGTGGGCACCAAATGCCCTTCTGGCAAGTTTAACATGAGGACTCCTCACCAGTGCTACACTGGCATGAGGAGGGCAGCTGACTGACAAGTGAACAAGGGGGCAAGGGGCTGCAGCCAGGGCAGACAGGGAAGAGGAGCACCGGGAGGAGGAGCAGTGAACCAGGGATGGGAGTGGTGTGTGTGTGGGGATGGTCTCCGTGGAGAGGGAAAGGGAACAGCTTCCCATGGCCCTGAGTGCCCTGATCCTGCCTGGAGCCTCCTCAGATCACCTCCAATGCCCAGTCTTGCCTTGATCGCCTTCTCCCAAGGATGCAGATCCTCAGAATTGAGCCTCAACCCTTGTTGATGCTTGTGATCCTGCCTTAGAATAGCTGCCTTGCTGTCTGCAGGGTAGTGGAAATATTCCAGCTCTGGAGCAATACCTGAATGCACTGTTAAATAGATGCATGTTAATGGGACTCTGATTTACACATGAAAGAGGCTGTTTAGAGCTGTTTAGAAGGAGGTGTTTGTAGGCATTTCACTCCCCAAGTCTGGTAACAAGCTTTTCTCCTTGTCTTATGGAACACTGTTAAAAACAGATAAAAATAATTCTGTTGATCGGGTTTGAGCTACATATTCCCATTGGAGGTGGGAGAATGGCACCTCCAATGGAGATGGTGAAGAATGGCACAGTCTATTAAACATAATTTTGTTGTGCTCTAAGACAGGAAGTACTCTCACCAAATAATGCAACAGGATAACTTCCCAGTCTCCTCTCAGCTTCTTCAGTCCACTGCCATAAACCCATCTTCCCAGTTCCAGTATTTATACCAATGGAGTCTGTGTCCTTACCTTGTCTTTACAGTCTCAACCTTAGCATGAATTCTCAGTCACATATGTGGACTATGAGAACTCCCAGGGGAACAACTATTCTTGGTTTTGAAAGCTAGAAGACAGAATTATTTCAGCTGAAAAATAAATGGATTCACATAGTCCCAGAAATGGATCCCCATATGCAAACCCAGGAGTTTTTATTTTCAACTACAGCTGGTTTATTCCCTTTTCCCATTGTATACTAAGTGAACGCAAACATTTCCCCAACTTCCCACCGAGGCTGGATGCCCAGGCACAGGAATGGAGCAAAAGAAAAACCGGGCTTGAAAACTCAACCATTCCAAAAAAAGAATCTTTCCAGAAACCACTGTGTGGTCATCCTTGCGTCTCTTCTGGCATTACATATCCTGGGTGGCAGCACAACAAATAATGTTCTCTTTACTCAGCTTCCATTAATATTTCCTCTTCCTTTGCAGTGCAATTGCTCCATGTGGTTTCACTAGTACATAGCTGTGGTCTGTGAGGGGTTTGAGCTCTGCTATCTGGTCCTACTCCTTTGGCATTCTGTTTGCTCCAACCTACACATACTTCCTCTTTCACATAAACTATGGTCTTAATTTGGAAAACAGACTTGCATTACTTCAGCCTGCATTGTGGCTGGGCCTCCAGGGGCCTTGGAGAGTGACCCTGTGATGCTGAGAAAGCTCTCATGACTGTAGTCAGGGTTCCTGTGTTATTTGTCCTTGCATAGCACATCCATGCACGCACTCTTACACTCGTATGCATGCACCTCTGTCCTCTTTTGCTCCAGTAGGCAGTTCTCCACTCTGCAGCCTTCAGAGAGTAGGTGCAAAGAGCAGCTTTTCTGCCTGCAGAATTTGTTACTCAGAGGAGTTCTGGGAAAACAAAAGATCCAGCGACATATTTTTTTGCTGTTCTTCAGACTGAACAAGCCGATAGCCCAGCAAGTCCATTGCATCCTTGCACACATTTTGCACTTTCTCTGTTTTCTGGAAGGGAAGAGTTTTCCTCCAGGCCTGGGATACTCCCTGTGCATCTCTGGACCCGACACCAAAGGCCTGTGTTCCTTGCCCCTTCCCATGGGTGATGTTGTGCACCCACTTCTGAAGTTCTGGTGTGAAATGGAGTTCTGCAAACCTGTACATCTGAGCAGCCCCTGCTAGCGGGTCTCTGACAATGTCTTCATAGCGAACCAGCAGATAGCGATCTTTCAGGAAGCTGGGAATGGCCTGCCTGCTTGCCTTGTAAATCTCAACCTGGCTTTGGCAGATTACTTGCATTGTGTTGTAGGGCCCCATTTCTCCCTTTGTCCTCTGGGACCCCACAACAATGTCACTGTCACGTTTCAGCTCTGCCACTGAATTCTCTCGGGACCTGAACACAGCCCGAGGATCACGTACCAAGTGAATGATTTTGAGGTTCAGGGACGGGTCAGCAAGAAGGGGGTAGAGAACTTTCAGGTCAAAAAACCGAACCTCCTTGATGGCAACATGGCTGTAGGTTTTACAAGCTTCCTCCACCTTGCTGAATGGGTACTCGCCACAGATTGTTCTGCAATTGTCTGCAGTGATTATGTCACTGCGACTGAATAAGTCACAGGCAGGGGGCGAGCACAAGGCTCGGCTTGTTTCCCACTGAAATAAATCAGACTTTTTCTTCTGGCTAGACATGTAAGCATCAAACACAGACATGTCACACAGAAAGATCGACCTGACTAGGTCCCGCACTGCCATGTGTAAGACTTTAGCACTGTTCCGGTACATCTTATCCCACACGTGCCATGCAGGCTCCATCAGGTAGAAGACGCTGGGGTGCTGGCTGAAGATTTGTCCAGTAAAGGAAGATCCTGACCGCCAGGAGGAGAGAATGAGGATGTGGACTGGAGAAGGTGTTTCTCCCATGGGAGCATTATTGCTGCAGGATAGGAAGTGGACATGGATCAGAAGGAAGGACAGAACTGCCAGAATCAGGAGCACCTGCATGCTTCTAGACTTCATCATGGTTGCAAGGGACCTGCAGAGACAGAGGAAGTTCAGCATCACAGGATCATGAAGGCAGCAGGGTGTGGTGCATGAGGGCTCCTGCCAATCTGCAGGCTCAGGGTTTTGGAAAGCTGCCACACTACCAGTGATACTGTGACAACCACAGCACAAGGTGTCTTTGGAAAGGACATAAGTACTGCAAGGCTGAAGGTTTTCTGTAACAAAAACACTGTAAGCAAGCCATTCTAATGCAGTCTTAGAAGATCGCTGAAAAGCTTGTCTGCACTTTGATCAAAGTTTAAGAGTTAGTTCAGTGTATTGAAATAGGTCAGTACACACAAATGTGTACTTAGTGGACACAATCCCTTCAGACATGATCCTGGCAATTTTTATGGAGGAAAGATGGAACAGTTTTTGTGGAGAATTCAACAGTTCCACATTGTTACTTTTAAGCTCCTGCTCTGACCACTGTTTACAATTATTTTTATGCCAGAATGCTGTAAAAATACAATGTAGATTTCCATTTCTTTTGTTTATATTCTTTTTGGAATTTCAGGAAACGTTTATTGTCATTACAGGCAAAAACTGACATACTCTAGTGTCATGGTTTAACCCCAGCTGGCAACTAAGCACCACACAGGCGCTCACTCACTCCCCCCAACAGGATAAGGGAGAGAATCGAAAGAGTAAAAGTGAGAAAACTCATGGGTTGAGATGAAGACAGTTCAATAGGTAGAGCAAAAGCCGCACACGCAAAGCAAAACAAGGAATTCAGTCACAACCTGTCATTGGCAGGCAGGTGTTCAGCCATCTCCAGGAAGGCAGGGCTCTATCATGCGTAACGGTTACTTGGGAAGACAAACGCCATCATTCCAAACGTCTCCCCTTCCTCCTTCTTCCCCCAGCTTTATGTGCTGAGCATGACGTCATATGGTATGGAATATCCCTTTGGTCAGTTGAGGTCAGCTGTCCCGGCCATGTCCCCTCCCAACTCCTTGTATACCCCCAGCCTGCTCGCTGGTGGGGTGAGAAGCAGAAAAGGCCTTGATGCTGCGTAAGCACTACTTATCAGTGACTAAAACATCCCTGTGTTATCAACACTGTTTTCAGCACAAATCCAAAACATAGCCCCATACTAGCTACTATGAAGAAAATGAACTCTATCCCAGCCAAAACCAGCACACAAAGGAAACCTTTTGGCGCTGTAATAAATCCAAGCAGAACAGTATCTCCTCCACAATCAGACCATCATAGGCAATTTTGCTAGAAAGACCCATGAGGGTTTCTCTCATCCATCTTTGTGCAGGCAGGCTCACCTACAACTAACCCCTTTTTAGCCTAACTCCTTTTTAAAGACTGTTTCCAGCTACCCCTCCCTCCAACCCCACTCATCCCGTAGGTCTTTTATGAGAAGAGGTATAACACAATGTGTTAGTCCAACTCAAAGGTCTGCCCAAAAGCTGGCTCCTTGTTTCTTGCACTAAACCTCTATTCTGCCTGTTGAGGATGACTTCATTATTGGAAAACGTCCATTGTGCTGCCCAGCGACAATTCATAGTCTGAGTACAGGCTGGCACAGGAATGTGCAGGAAGTACACCATCAGGGATGGGATCTGAGGCAGAAAGGAGTCACTTAATTTTAAAAAAGTACATTAAAGCACACTCTGCCAACTGCTCCTCTCTTGTGCACTCCCCGCCATGCCTGACTGTGCCTTGAATATAGGTGGGTGCATGCAGCACTGGTCACCCCTGGGGCCAGGCTCCTCAGCACAGAAGTCCACACAGTACGGTGTGCACCCCTGTCGCCATGTGCCAGGCTGGCAGTTTAGCTGTGCTGCAGTGGAGACAGGCCTCTCTGGCCAGTGCAACTGCTTTACATTTCCCAAGGTGAACTAAAATTAAGAAACCTTATTGGTTCTCAGTCACGGTCAGTCCTTCCAGGTGCTTCCACAGCCAGACAGGATAGAGAGAGCAGGGCCTTCAGGGCTGCAGGGCAACCTGGAAGCCCTCCTGGACAGAGTAGCACTGGAGCCCAGGTCCTTACAGCTTTGTACGCTGCTTTTTTGCATCCACAATTGCACTGAATTCAGGTAGCCATGCCCACACAGAGCAGCTGCCTCCATACTAAAGCAGCAGAGGTATAAAGTGTGCCCCAGCTGGCCACAATGCGGACGCTGCTTCCCCACTACGTGCTTACTACGTTACCTTCTGGGTCCATGGTAACGCGTGAACGTTCCCAGTCAAAATTTCCCTAACCTCCACTTTATGACCTGCCTCAATTTTCCTCTGCAGCAAAGCTTTCAAACTAATTTGCATGGAGGTGCCTCCTCCCATGATTTCTGTTCCTGTAGCACTGATGTTTAGATTTCCAGGTACAGTCACTGCTGCTAACCAACTAGGAACAGTTCTCATCTTTCCCTCCACCATATATGCATAATTGAGCTTAGAGTTTATAAGGCAGCAATTATAATTTCTCAGAGCCAGGACAATACCCAGCCCAATGGGTAAGCCTGGTTGTTGCCAACAAGTGCTACCACAATATGAATTTTATTTTGGTAATGTCTTGCAAGAATGGGGCTGTGCATTTAGTGAGGGATCACATGCTTCTGGTCTCCTGGACAAGAAGCCCACTGATTTTTTTGGTTATACAAATGGACTTTAGTGTTACAGGTCTGACAAGATGCTGGTTCAGGTCAACATTTGGACCAAGCCAAGTAAGAGCCACAAAGACTGTTGTGAAAATAAATCATGTATCAGCTTCCTCCTTGCAAATGAATACAGCAGTGTTTACCAAAAGTCCTGGCTTCCAAGTGACCTTTGATTATATCACTTCCATCTAGCAACGTTAGTATCGTTATTCTCACTCCCAACAGAATTCCTGGACTATAGTCAGAAGCTCTAAACTGATAAAAACTCTGTTGAGCAGACATGAACGCTGGCATTAAGATACCCAGGCAGATTTAAAACCACAGAAATCATTATTTCTCTTGAAACCTGTGTGTGAATAGTCTAAGAGAATGGATTCAGGTTTTTTGGGAAGCAAGGGTGTGCTTTTATCTTGAATTAAACAGGGTGGGACAACTGGATGTTTTAGACAATTCAGAGGTATGCAGACCATCCCTGTGACTGCTCTTGGTGTTTTCCTGAGAAATGGCCTCATGTCAGACCACAGCCTCAACAGCTGCTTCACTCTTATACGAGAAATAGTGATGATTGTTGCCCTGACCGGTCTGTCCCACAGCGAGGGGAGAAGGACTGAAATGAGTTGTGTGTGCCTGGTGAAGTGGAATAGAGGAGCAGCAAAGAGCAGCAGAGGTTCTATCAGACCTTTCCTAATATGAAAGAAATACTTATATTAATAACCTTATTTTTCACCACTGTATCTCTCCATCATGGCGGCCGGAACGTTTCTAAACTAAGGTCTTAAGCTTAACCACATTTTCCCCACAGCAAACATCAAGAGTCACAAGTGATTCAGTTCATTTCATACTGCAAAAGTGAAATATGAAGCCCTCGCAGAGCTGCAGAGTAAAGATCAGCCCAGAATGATTGAGACAATCTAAGCTGCAGAACAAAAAAAAGGTACACTGTTACTGTCTGCTGGCAGAGAGATGAGCCAGAATTTGGCTGAGAGCAGGAAGAACAGGAAGAATCTCAAGGCACTAAGGATGAAGAACAGAAACGACTGAAAAATACGACAATCCAGTGTCACCATGTTGGAGTCTCCCACGGCACACGTACGAGAACGCAAAGAACTGGGATCTGCCTAAGCAGCTAGAGTCTCAAAAAAAAAAATGAACAGAGGTTTAGGCTCGTCCAGAAACATACGGGGCCCTTGGAAAAGCTTGATCCTGGCAAAGAAAGAGTATTACAGAAAGCAGCAAGCAGCCCCAGGGAGACATACCCACCAAACGCACTCTGAGCACCGGCAGCATGTCCCCAGGGTACAGGGTTGTTGAACCTGTGCATGTCTGAGGAGGGGGTGACAGTACAGCCCAAAATACTTCGTGCTATGCAGACTGTGGCTGAGTGCTCTGCAAGTCTGTGGGAGCTCTCCAGACCTGTACAGATCCCTCACTGCTGTAGTGGCAGTAGTGTAGCATAAAGGATCTGGTGCCAGGGAAGCCCCAGACACTGCTCTTTGATGGTACTGATGATTGCTCATAGTTTTATCAAATCGTTCTTCAATTTGGCCTGATCATCTTCTGCAGAATTAGAAGTAGCATCTGCCCATTCAGAGGAGAACAGATCGCATGACTGTTACTAGCAGGAAATGCCGAGAAGAGGCACTGAGAAGACAGTCTGGAGAGGCAAGAACCACCCTCTAAGCCAGACCAACAGCTTCTGTCTGCAGAATGAATCACGTAGCAATTTACTGGCATCCATACCCTCACAGTGTTTTACAAAAATTATTTCCCAGTTCAGGCTGCTGAGCATGAGCAGTGAATACAGTTCTGAGCACCAGAGCATCCACACCAGATACCAAGAAATGGTTGAAGAGCTCACCTTAACAAGTCCTCTTGAAGCACCACCAGACCTGGTTCAAGAAGTTGCCCTCACACATGTACACTGCTGTGGTACTCACTCTTCCAGGCAGCCACACAAACAGCTACGCGTTCATGCACTCGTACTCTGCCTTCATGCCAGGCTCTCATATACACGTATACTCAGCTCTTACCTATATCTCTGCCTGTTCCCTCCTGTCCCCTCCATTCGTGTATGTCCCAGCTCTAAGACTGACTACAGTGCCCGCCTACTTTGCCCAGCCTCAAACTAGAAAACTCCACCCTGCACTAAACAGCAAAGCATGGGAATGGTGGTTTCTTGCAGGGGCATTGTCCTGGTTTTGGCTGGGATAGAGTTAATTTTCTTCCTAGTAGCTGGTGTAGTGCTGTGTTTTGGGTTTAGTATGAGCATAATGTTGATAACACACTGATGTTGTAGTTGTTGCTTAGTAGTGCTTCCTCCAGTCAAGGACCTTTTCAGCTTCTCCTGCTCTGCCAGGTGCACAAGAAACT